ATGTTACTAGTTAAAATTATTATAATTTATAGCAAACTTTTTACATACTTGTCAAAACCATGTATATAAGGTTAGTTTTACTAATATTATAGCAAAATTAACAATAAAAATAAGAATTCCAACTATAATTATTTTACTATGCAATTATAGTCGTAAATACCAAGCATATTTCTCTCAGTGCACGAACGTGTTCGACAACTTTCTAACTTGAGACCTTGTCTCTCGATATTCGGATACTTCCTTCTTCTTTTGTTGATCGAATCGAGTAAACTTCTGTATATTTTCAGTGTATCGTCGCGAATGCGACGTGCGGCGCGACACGTCGTAATCTTCAATTTATCTTGTGGATTGTTTTGGGTCCGTTTTCTTGTCGCTAATTATCCGTCGCTCAATTTACGTCAAGTCTGAACAAGTCAAGAAAGACAAATTAGAAAGACGTCGGCGTAATAATTGTCGATCTCCGTTTCCGCGGTCGAGATCTTTCCGCGTGATCTAGAACCATTTCGTTCCTCGAGTTGTCTGAACGTTGAAGAAATTTTCGGACGGAAGATTCAACGCAATCGAATCGAACTCGCAACAACGTGCTAACAGATCACAGAAGTCGGACACGTTGGTGACGTTCGTTCCGTGACGATCAAACCGGATAGCGTCTTGTGCACGACGCGGGCGAGTGATTTTCCGATTAGATAGTATACCGAGAACGCTTATCGCTGATTATTTCTTCGTCTTTAAGCCGCGTGGATTATTCCACTGTATGTAGAGCAAATTTGAGATATGAGCTTTCTCAGATCTTCCCGACGAATTCTCACACAATCTCCGCGCCGGGAATTTCTTCGGTAATTTCGCGGATACGCCCAGCAACACGTACGCTGCAGTTTAATGGCTGAAATTTCAGAGAACCGCAGAGTTTCTCGCTGTTATTATCTTATATTCGCAATTATCTCGTCCTTCATGCATCACGGCGTACGAGTAGAATATACGATTATCCTCCGAGATCTCGCATCGTAAACAAGTACAAAAGATTGAATTTTTTTTTTCGAAATTTGGAAAGAGTAAAAATCTAATTTCGTTATTATAGTCTCTACATATATATATATATATGTGTTATTATGTAAGGCAAATAAAATTTCGGAGCAGAGAGCCGTGCGAAATTTCTTTTTCAGGGATCGCTGAGCAATGAACGAGCAATGGAGAACGTTGAGAATGAATTCAAAAATACATCGTAATGTCAATCAATCCTAACGACTCCGAATCGTCTCTGTAGAACAATTTCAAACGGATGACTCTCACAGAAGTCACGCCTTCGAAATCGGAGCGCGCACTGACATCCGCACTGACGAAACGCGCCTCGCGAAACCGGAAGTCCATTCGCGGTTTCCGCGTTTTGTCTTTGTTTCGCCGCGACAACTTCTTTCAAACTGTCACGGCCGCCGTTCACGAAGCAAGCCGCAACCGTAGCTCGTGTAACGCGATCGTTTCCTTGCAGTGTGTTGCACCACTGACGCAAGTGACGGGTTCTAAACTCTCGCTTCTCTATCTCGCGGCGGCCTCTCTTTTTCTCTCGTGCCGCAAATGCTGCATCCCCTCTTCTTCGTTCGCTGCTGAAGCCGCGCCGCTTCTTCCTTCTTGCTTCTTCGGTCCACGAGATTATCGCGCGCCGAAATAAATCACGTTCGGTTTCCGGCGCGCGCGCGATCGCGGAAACACTCGACGCGCCGCGCCGCGCGAACTGTGCGCGTAACTCGGCGCGCGTGTCGCGTGTCTCTATATCGCGTGTATGACTGACGACAATAACGACGACGACACACGGAAACCCGATGTCGTCTTTCCGTCCGACAAAAAAAGAAAACTGTCGACACGCTGCGCGACGACACTTTCTACGGGTTGTCAACCGGTAGCGGCGCTCCGTTTTCTTCTCCCGCGCAAAGAGAGGATTTTCTTTCTTCACTCTCTCTCTTTTCTTCTCTACAACGCTATAATTATCTCCCGACGATGCGCTCGCTCCTTCCGAGGACGTATCGAAGACACGCGAACGACCGCTCCCTCGTTACAAAGCAAAGGCAACAATAGCGAGGCTTCTCGGCATCGATCTTGCTTTGTGTTGCTCCGCGCGAGTTTTCTTCGGTCACGTCAAGCGTGTGACGTTTTCTCTCACGCGACTAATTTAATTATTTTTCGGAGCATGTTGATTGCATAATTGTCTGATGTTGGCACGCTAGCAGGCATCGTCCAAGCAGGTGGTCGCGACGCGCGTACGGGCGCGTCGCCAGGCACGACGACGACGACGACGTCAGATAGACACGTGGTTTTTCTCTGATTTTCCCGCGAGTGACGTCCGAAATAAAAACCGCACCTCCGTGTTTGTTTGTCTCTGTTGCTGTTGATCTCTCCTTGTTTTCCACCACCTCCCCTGCGCATTCTCTCGTCGTAGGTTTGACAACGACGCCGAAGTCCGTTTCGACGTCGTGGAGCTACTAGCTAACGAGCGAGCGAGTGACAGCGACGCTCGAGCGACTCGTCGATATAAAGACGCGAGCCAGGCATGCGTGTTGAATAGGAACTGCCGACTCACGTTTGCCGTCGGCGACGATGACGACGGCGCGGTAAACCTCGCGTTCGCTTTGATTCAAGTGTTCTCTTCGTTCGTCTCTCCGGAGCAGCGGCGTAATAAAACGCAGAGGCGACGCGAAGACACTTCGAATCGAACTTGCGGGATAATCTCTCTGGGTGTTCGTTAGATACCCACTTTGATAACGATGATCCCGTTAATGTAACGAGTTCAAAAACTGATCAAACCAATGTGACGATAAGATGTCGCTGAGACGTTCGTAAAAGTCTCTTTGTCGTCTTTTCAGATGTGAACTCCTTCGTTGTTGTTTGCCGGAACGATGGAGATTCTCTCTTCTCGCGCAGTCAATCTTAGTTCACGCAAATAAAATACTTTATGACAATGACGTTGGTATCGAGTGATGTAATGTTAAAAAAAAATACTTTTAGATTCTACTTCGCGCAAAATTGACGGAAGTTTGTTTTTGAAGCAGTCACGATTCCTCGCGAGCACGAATTGAAGTCTGTGATTCAAAGTTTCAAAGTCTCTTATTACTACGTAAAACCGTTTTTTTCGTGCCGCGCGCGCAATTCTTGTAATTAAAAAAAAAGAAAAATCTTCGCAATGTCGAAAACAATTTTTTTTATACAAAATTTTGGACGACGGCAGATTTTGTCAAAGCTAAGCGAAGCGAAAAAACACTTGAACTAAAGAAAACACACGAGGAAACGTATCACATTCTTGCAAACGCGTCTGCGCGCTTCCACTTGGATTGCACAGCACGGCGTGACGCGCTGTTGACACTGCGACGTCCGCAAATGAGTTTACATACGTGTACCGAGGCTTTTTTTCCGTCCCTCTGAAGAGCACACCTGACCGCGAACGTGGTTGGCGTTACGTCAAATGCGCATCCGCGCGCCCTACATTTTCCGCGACACGTATTTATAAAACTGGTCGCGAACGCGCCAGTTCGATCTGCAGTCGAAGCGCCAATTCGCGGGAAAACGCAGCCGCTTTTCTCTTTTTCGTTTTCGTACACTTTTCTCACACAAAAGTACAAAAGCACCCCCTCACGGCATTTGAATAGTTCAGAATTGAGCAGTAAATCGCGTGATTTTGCAGAGCAAAATTTTAGAACATTAAAATCGAGATGAATCACAGTTGCTCATCTCGTTCGGCTGACCAGCACATTTTCAGATCCACGTGACACAATACGTCGCACGTTACGCGATTCGTTCCGTGACGTTATTTTTACACACTGGCTTAAAACAGCGAGACATTACCTCGTGATGTCTCTCGCTTTCTCTCTTCGACTTTCTGCCAATCAAGCACCTTGACGTGAATATTGATAACGCGTCCTGACGTCAATGTTTCGCTTTCGTTAATCAGTAAACCCGTTCGAGATGAGATTTTCGATTTTCGTCACGCAAAAAAACCAAATCCGTTTCAAAAGGTGTTCGCGATTTTTCCGCGAAGGTTCATCGACATCGGCTGTTTTGATATTAAACCACCTCCCTTGTGAAATTTAAGATGCACGTCGTAACACGCCGCTTGATTGACGTCTTGTGTGTCGATCACGTACATACTTTGCCTCGTACGTACACGTCGGTCACGCAAGGCGCCGGCGAGCTCGCGCGATTAAATATCGCTCGGACGCGTGATTTAATGTAGCGGCTGACGTTATAGTCAGCGCGTGTCAACTTACGCGCGATAAATTCGGAACACGAAGGAGCAACCGGGCGCGCGCAATGAAAACGTGTACCTGTGTACACACACTACAATCAAACTTCCACTTCGACGAGGATCACGACGTTGATACGACGTTTGAGGTTAAAAACTATTTTCGCGTGTTCTTCTGCATAAAGAATTTGTCAAGGCTACTCTAAAATAGACGTCACTCTGTTGGCGAAGAATAGAAACGAGCTTGTACGCCACGAACTTATATCTATCTACTTTTACGACGTCATTCGTACATGTGAAAATTTTATAAGCGCGCGCTCGCGCATGTGTGAGTTTCAAGAATTGTAATCTAATTGCATGCATCGATTTAAACTACGTACGTTACAAATTGTTCTTATACAACATTATATACATTTTATTTTCTGTTTTCTATATAATTTTCTTTGTATACATTTGTATTAAAAAATAAAGTGATACAAATATATATGCGTATAGCATTTTTTTACTTGATTATATGAAATATGATATATATATATGTATATATATATATGTATAACAATTGCGTGAATGTTTGATTACAATATCGAAACATTCAATTTTCACGTAGTCCGTTGTTTGTTTGTATGTGCATTTCATCATCATTTTCATGTCCCTACGTACTTTCGTCTGTTTCTTCACTATGATCCCCGCCTTTGTTCCGCATATTGTAATATATTTCGTCCTTACATAACGAAACCTGCTCCGACACGAAATATTCCGAATTCTGATCTATGTATCTAGACTGCATTAATTCTTGTATCTCGTTAATGCTGTAATACATACGTATTATCATTAGTTATTTTCTCTTTGCAACAGGCAAAGAGGTACACTGAATACCTACGTGCGAGGAAGATCCGCGCTTAAATTTTCAATCCCAGTTTCCGTTACGAGAACATCGTCCTCTATCCTAACACCAAAACCGCGATACATGTTTATTTCATCTCTCACGAGAAACTTTGAAAGTGCAGGATTCTCCATAGCTTCTTGCAGTAACTGCAATATAGAAATTTTTTCACATAAATAATTCGGAACTAATACTGTAATACAAATCGGCATGTAGTTCAATTGTCAAAATTGAACCGCAGAATCAGATTAGGTTTGAATCTTGTAATTGAACATCATTTATATTAATCTATTTACTTACGGAATCTATGAAATAACAGCCTGGTTCCACAGTAAGAACCATTCCAGGTTTCAATTTCCGTGCAGTTCTCAGATTCTTCAATCCCGGTTCAGTACGACGTTCGGGATGACCCGATAAATATCCACCGACATCGTGTACATCCAACCCCAACAAATGGCCCAAACCGTGAGGTTGAAATACAGCGGCCAGATTTACTGCCATCATTTCTTCGACACTGCCAGTCAATAGTCCTCCTTGCTTTAATTCTGTCAGTAATGTAAAGTTAGCTAGAAGATGCAAATCTGTCCAGGCAACGTCTGGTTTTGCCTTTGAGAATACCGCATTGCGCGCCTCCAGCACAGCCTCGTAGATTGTCGTCTGAAGATCGTCGAATACACCATTGGCCGGGAAGGTGCACGTGATGTCGGCCGCGTATCCGCAATAGTTGGCACCCATATCGAATAAGCTGTAAAACGACAGAAAAGACGCAGCGAGCTATAATTTTTTGCGACGGATTAAAATGACTACGAGCACAAATGTTTTCATTTTGGAAAAAAACTCTCAATGACAATTATCTTACCATAAATCATTAGGCTTTATAACTTTGTTATTCGGCGCACCGGCGTGACCGTAATGCAGTATAGAGGCGTTGTGTCCGGATCCGCAGATGCATGTGTAAGACACGTGTCGGCATCCTCCCTCTCTGTACACATAATCCAAAAACCAAGACTCCGCTCTATATTCTGGAATCCCAGGATTCACGGAGCGCATCACGTACTTGTGCGCGTCACAACTTATCTTGATCACGTATCGTAATACTTCAATTTCCTCCGGAGACTTTATCACTCGGCTGTAGAAAACAAAAACAGACCTTATTAAAGACTCACATATTTACATATTTACATGTTATAAGCAGAAATAGATGAGGATTTGTTTTTGCGAATATGTTTATTGCGTCAGATTTATACAATGCTTTACTCTTGTCTTGTACACATCTCTCTCTTTTTCGATTTCAGTCAAAAAACAAAAAAAAATCCAAATAAAATATTACAACTTGTCACTGGGAAATCATATACGCTTACATAAACATGCGTGTCACTTGCGGAATAATTTATAGAGCATCTTCGGCAGCGTCTAGATTTTGCGATAAGTAAAGTAACAATTTGTCGTCTTGATCTACGAGTTCTGTCAGTTTCGCGTAATCCAAGCATGTGACTCGGAAACCCAATTTTCTCATCTGTCTCTTCCTCATCACTTGCGGTCCTATCAAAAGCTGAGTGTTCCAGCAATAATACTCGGGCAGATGAATCAGAATCGCGGTATTAACATTTTTCTTTTTTTGCAGATTTAAATTGAAGGTCGGCGTCGACCTTAAGAGCGGATGTATCAAAACATCCAAAACGTAGAAGTTTATGAGAGGCATTTTGTTTAAAACCACGCTCCTGCTCAATTTGTGCTCCCCGCCCACCAAATGCGCCAGAGGTTTGTATATCTTATTAACGATACCTCTGATTCTCGTGTCCAAATTCAACGACCTCGTGTCCCTGTCGAGATTAATCGGACTACCTTGATAATATTTACATTCTAACGACATGGTCGCGTCGAACAATTTCAATTTGATCTTCAAACGGCTCACAATAGGCATGTCTCTTTGAATTTGCAGTCTGTTCATGAGATACGAGCTGAAAACTTTGTCCAGAAACTTGACGGGATATCTTTCGAGATACGTGCAAGAGAGAAAAATGTCGAGAACGTCGTTTAGTTTCAAATCCGAAAATCTCGCGGTTATCACTTCGTCGAATGTTCTCCAAAACTCGATGGTATCGGGCGGTTGTAAATTCAATAATCCAAACGACGTGAGAATGGACGGCAATAAAGAGGACGAAATTTTCGTCCCGTATCTTATGAAGTACTTTCCGCATCCGTTGAGAACGTACGAATTTCTCACTCTTAAATCTTTACAATAATCCGTTATTGTCGCGATCAAATTGGGATCCTTTATCGTCGCGCCTTTAGCCGTCACGTATCTCGCCAGTGCCTGTTCTATGCTTTCGTCGACATACTTTTTCGTGTGTAAGCTGCTGATGAATCTCGCGAGATCTTTCTCGTTTGAGGTGGTCATGCTCACAGCAGCCCACTTGCTGGCGCTCGCAAGACTACCCTTCGAAACATCTTTCCCGTAAAGAGAGTCCAGTATGTCGCTCATCTGAGAGCCGGACAAATTTATCCACTGTTCCGAAAGCTTCTTTTCCAAAATGATTTGCGTCATGTTCCTGCTCCGATAAAAATGCTTCAACGACTTGAACAACGGCACTAGAAATTCCGGTTTGATATCGCGTTCCTTGCAGGCCAAACCAACCCACAACATGTCCACGCAGTTTCTGTACTTGGCATCTTTGTAAGAGGACAGAATCTTCACCGCTCTGATCAGTTGCGACACCGTGAACTCACCGTCCGTGGCTCTGATCATAGCTTCGTTACACATCCAATCTTTGTAAATATTCTTCGCAGGACTGAACCTGTCTCTCTTTAACGCTTTCAATCCCTGCAATATCATCTCGCTGTCTCGACTTTTGACAATTACATTTATAAGCTGTCGGAATATAATGTCTCTGTTGGCGACTTCCACGGCCGACTGTCCGCTCGACAGAGTCTTTCGATACTTGTACCATCCGTTTTCCAATTCGATCATCTTTTTCAAACTCTGAAGCGCTATCCGACAGCTCACCTCGTCGGACATCTTGTTCTCGAGCAAGGAATAGACTCTGTTATTCCCGTTTCCTGTCATTATTGCGTCCAAAATCTGTTCTATATCCACATCCTTCAAGTTCTTCATGTCAGAGTAGAAGAGTATCGCCGTACCCTCGTCAGTCTCTATGCTGATACCGTGCTTCAAAGGCTCGTTCTTCATCACGTTTGTCACGGAGGAATGTGAAATATTTTCTTTCTGAATTACAGCGGGCTTTTTATCTGCATTTAACGATGGCAATTTTTTGTCGACAACTCTTTTGCTTTTCTCATCGAGCAGTTTCGCAACATCGGTGATCTTTCTGACTATCAGCGGAACTTCCTGTATGCGAGTGCCCTCTTGCACGCAGATAGTCGTCTGAGTCAATTGCGTTTCGCTGCGATGATCGCGTGCGCTCGATTCGAACCATCTCTTTTTAAATTTGTAAATTCGATTGCACGGCCGCACGCACGTTCTTATTATGGGAAACTTTTCCCAAATTGTGCGACTAGAGACTATCATCTACAATTCGTGAGTAATCAAATTGTAAATATTCAATCAAACCGCGTCGTGTGTTACGATAAGTAACATCCTCTCGTTTACCTTTTTTCTTTCATTATGTGTTATTCGCTATATCTTCACAAAAAATCCCAAAGAAATTTCCATGTTATAAGTTTCACTAATAAGATATTATAATATCTCTGCAGCAAAACCACTTCTTTTTTTGCTCATTTTTTACATGCGTCATAAATAGAAAAAAAGCATGTAAAATGAACCGGTTGGTCTCATAACCCGATGGAGAGTTGTCAGATTTGTACCGATGTGGTGAACACGTGCGATTGCGCGAGTTGGCCAACCGATGGCGACACTGATTCTTTCGAGGCAATTGACGCGCGATAAACAACACGCAAACACGTATACATAAAGCTTATATCATAACGTATACAATTGCTAATATTTTTTTTTATAAAAAATATTAATATTAGCAATGTTTTTTCTTCATAATATTAATATTTTCTTTATAATACTAATATTTTTTCTTAAAAATGCTAATATTTTTTCTTATAAATGCGCGTGGAAATAAATGAAATACAAAATGTATTATGCAATTCTCGATACACTTACCACTCACATATTTCCGGATACAAAATGTCTTTGTTTACTTGGAAACTACGGTAAACAAAAAAAGAAAAGCGGTCAATTAGATTGTTCCAACCAGTCATTCGTAGATTGTCTCTACCGACACACGATTCGTCATCGTACTTACTCGTCAATACCCTCGAAGACTGTTTCACGCGTCCACAAGCCGCTGTCGCTGTTTTGGCCGTGCTGCAAAACACAAGAAAATAAGCAAAATCTCTAATTAGTTCCTGACATATATTCGCTCGCGCATTAATGTATATGTACGTAAAAAAGCAACGAATACACACGGTGTATCGCCGAAGTAAAAGTAAAGCCTTATGCAATTCCGATCCGAGTCAGAATAGAGAAAGCATTTCTTATCCAGTCGGAAGCGAAACACGCTGGTTTCTGTGCCATCGATTTCTATCGGCGCGGCGGGACACGCGTGCGTGATGGTGTCACGTATATTTCACAGCGAACCATGATAATGCAAACATGCAAATCCTTAATGCATCGCATTAATTAACCGTAATCGTGATTAATTTGCATGACAAATTTCGAGTAACAGAGACATAATTAACAATTGAATTCTAAATCGAGCTTTGACATTTTTACAGAGTCGTTTATTTTGAATAAATGTTTTTTTTTCCCGATCTGTCTGTTTTATTTTATGATAATTTTGTTATTTATTTCGAATAATATTTCTATATATTTCTTTTGCGCTACGCGGCGCGTGTCTTTTGAATATGTACACATAAACAACGGGTTTGCATGTCTGCGCACACAACATGTATGTAATAAAAATTGCGCACCTGATGCATAATAACAACAGTTTTGGCGTGCAGCAGCTTTGCACACGGTTGCAATATATTACAGAACGTTAATCATTTTTTGCTGAGCAATAGATAAAAGTGTGTTTTGTCGGGCTAAATGGCGCGAGCGCGACACGGCTGCGAGAAACGTGCCTACGTCAGCATTTGTTGTATCCGATATTGCAAAAGACCGGCGGCGGCGGCGCAATGTGTCGCATAAAAATATGCGGCCGGCGATATCTGCTACCGTGCAATGTAATCATAATTAAAGTCGCAAATGGCGCTGCTATATAGCTTGTTTATAAAGAACGAGCGTTTATTAATATCCGTCGACAATGTCGACGTATTAGCATATAAGACCGATGCATAGCCGGGCAAGTTATAGTTTTTTATTGATAGAAGGATAAACACACAACACAACGCGTCTCAAGTCTCACGTGTGTGAGATTTCGCAAATCCCCAATATCGCAATTAATCACGAAAAAAAAAAAACATGAAAAAACCAAATGATCATTTATTTATATACGTAATGTATTCGTTTATGTTAATCTAAATGTAACGTACATACTTTCCATAGCTCTCTCTCTCTCTCTCTTTCGTATAAGATCAACATCAGTATGCGATATGATACTTGTTGCATAAATTTTTTTTCTTTTTATAAAGGTCAGCTCCACGTGGAACTACTTCTCCATGTATACCTACTTACACTTTACATGTGTATAACGACACGCAGTCGCCGAGCACGAAAGGTTACAATGTAATTCTTCGGTCGTTCGATATACGCACACGTCTATTTCTGACAAGCTTGAACTTCGATATTAGTCTTGTTACTCCGGAACGCGCGATCCCGCTTTTAGCTCCCAAAGTTACTTTATTTGACGTGCAGATACTCTTATCGGCAGTCAAATATATTTCCAATTGATATCGAGGAACGGTATAATTATCGTGTGTGTAAACAGAGCCGCAATCGAAAGAAAAGTAAAACACTGTAAATTTTGTCGAGAAAAATCGAAGATCGAGGCGTAATGCGGCGTTTTGTTGCGGATGTTAAAGTTTTTAATTGCAATTATGCGTCAAAGATACATACGTTAGCAAGTTTGTGTGTAACCAACACACGTGACTGTTTTACGTCCAGTTGAGGTTGACTCATTTTGTTTCCATTGCTGTTTATCAGCCGCTAAATTAGCTTTTGTCATGCATAAACGTCGCACCACCGACAGAGGAATAAGCTGCTTGAAAAGCATTGTTTGCAAACAACATACTCTGTAGTATAATTATAATAATTAAACCATGAATATAATATACATATCGTACTAATTTCGTATTAACGATATATTCTCTCGGACAGTTCGTTAATTGCAAAGGTACGTTGTTTTACATCCTGTCGCAAATAAAATAATAAAAAAGGTCATGTTAATTATGCAATTTTTACATATACACAACAAGACTTCAATTACACGAGAAATCTGCGTTACAATTCGAACGCCAACGATTTGATTGATACAAATTCGACCAATTTCGAAATTAAAACTAGAATTTTCGCTTCAATTACACAAGAGATTTGCGTTTAAATCCGAGCACGAACGATTTGATTGATACAAATTCGACCAATTTCGAAATTAAAACTAGAATTTTCGCTTCAATTACACAAGAGATTTGCGTTTAAATCCGAGCACGAACGATTTGATCGACACAATTTCAAAATTAAAATTAAAATTTTTTTAATGTGAAATATCCCCGGACAAGAGCTCAAAATAAATAGAGAAAAATGAGAAATTATTGCTGAGAAGGAAATAAAATAGAAATGTGCTTTATATTTCTCAATAAAAGAGACTAATAAGTGAGAGGAGAGAGTTCAAAATAAAATGAGAAATTATTAATAAGAGAGAGAAATAAAACAAAACTGCACTCCTATTTATCAATAAAAGAGACAAGTAATAAATGAAAAGATTCTAAAATGACACGACGTATACAAAGATACGTATTTCAAAATAGCACATAGGTAGTCACAATTGCCTCGTGATAAAGTCGGAGTTGCTTTATCTCTTATTCATGTCAGCCGTTCTCGCGTATTTCAGCAAAATAACACGCTGTCCACAGAGCCACTAAATATTGATCTTCTCGAGTGAGTTTTTCGCTGCGATTCGATTTATTAAACGTCACGGAAAATAAGATGATTCAAGGCTTGAGAGAGTCTACATGACACAGCTAGAACTAGCGTCTTTGTGTGCGCCAGACGGACGAGAGAGATTCGAAAAATGTAATGGAAATATCAAAAACTCGTTTTGACTTCGTCCACAAAATGAAAAACAAAGTCAAGTCGAAAAGTAGTTTCGCGAGATGAAGAACTCACTTATTGAATATTTTTTAAATGTCTTAAGTCGTCGTCGCCTGATGCAATAAGCTTGTCACTTAAGTTTCACGTTTGTCTAAAAATACAATTCTCGTATTGTTTATTGCTACAGGAAAGAATACAAATGACTTTACGTATGAAATTGCACCTTCATTGTGAGGTAAATATTATTGAAGTATTAGTGCAATGTTATGTTTTTCAATATAAAAAAACTGAGTAAATTTGTTTACCACTGGTCTTCGAATTACTGTTTGCAAAAATTTTTGTTTCCGATCGATTTAACCTCGTTAGATACACGCTGACGATTCTGTTTTTCCTAGTAAAATGACAAACAATAATACGTGCGCGGTGTAACATGCACTCAACTCGATGTTGTGTACGCAAGTCGGTAATCTCGCAAACGTTACTATTTCTAGAAAACGTGACACACTGACAAATACGAGTCTTTTAGAGTTTCCTGCAGTTTCATAAGCATGCGAGAGAGTCTCTTCGGAGTCATCAGATGCGAGAATCGAAACGCTTTAAATTGCCTCAAATTGCTCTAAATTGCGTGTCCCCCGCGCGGCACATTGACGAAATTGGTTCTACGAATTTACCAAATATCTTTTACACAAAGATATACACCACCGCGCGTATAAAGGTTACATATATATATATAACGAGGAAACACACTGATATATTGACCGATATCGCGAAACTTGCTACAACGTTGTGTAATGTGTTTACTGTGCATATAGGTCATTTATTTCAAAATACTTCATAAATTTCTGAGATAATATAATCGCTTCTCCGTCGATAGCGAAAACTCACAATCAGCGAAATGTTTCCATAATATAAACATAATTTTATATATTAAAAAAAAAACTATATTCTAGTATATATTCTAGTGAATCTAAATAAATAAAAAAAATTAAAACTGTTCGAATAAAAATAAATAAAAAGTACTCTACAAATAGAGAAACGTAAAATTACTTAAAAATGTCTCACAGACAAAGCAAGAGTATATGATTGGTGTATTTTCTTTGAACATATCACACATCCCAAGTAAATACAATATATTTTTTAAATGCTTAGGGAATCAAAGAGCCAAAAGAGCCTGCAATTCCAGAGGTCATGAGCATAACAGATCGAAAGCTTATTGATTCAAACATATATGTAGGCCTCCATTATTTGAACCTCCATTGTCTAAACGTTCCTCTCTCTCTTTCTCTCTCTCTCTCTGATACCTTTGATATTTAAATCTTTTGTTACACAGATTTCCCGTAAAACATCTTTTATGAGAAACTAGACGGTTATTGTAATCTTGAGAGGAATCAATAAGCTCAATAAAAATATTCATGTTACACATTCTCTTTTTCTCTCTTCAATTATTTAAAAAAGAAAAGAAACAATTTCCCTCGCGATGAAAATTAACGAAATTTCAGTGTATGACTCCATGCATATAAATAAATCACACATCTACAGAAAGTATATATAGTATATAATCTTACAGTAAAAACAAAGTAATCTTAAAAAAGCTACTTTTGACATTTTTAAACACCAAAGTCCACTCTCATTCAAGGTATGAATGAATTATCGCCCGATTTATTCTGTTATTCACCGCGCGAAATATCTATGTCCTCTTTTTCTATTCCGAGTACCTATACCTCTTACTGAAAATGGAGTACCCTCTCGGTTATAATCGATAGTTGAGGCTAACCATATCTTTCCTACTTCGTGCACACGAATGTGACGCGAAATCTATTTGCGGTAGCCGTACCCGCTATCAGATAAGCATTCCACGTAACGTGCAGGTAAGGCTCGAGCCGATCGTACATACATGCAGTCACCCATTTACGTTGTCATTGATGCTACGGACACATTGTTGTTTGTTAGATAACGAAACGGTTGAAAAATTCATCGGTTTATATTTTTCAACGCGCGAGCTACGCAATATCTATGTCACAGCGAGTTACATGTAAATCGTCACAAATCGGTTGTTGTTCAGAATTGCGAACTCGAAGTCGAAGATAGAGGTCAAATATTCTGGTATGCTCGCATGTTTTTTTTATCTCTCGCTAAAAAGTTGTGTGTCGTTGAGTTTCGGAAATAAAAAACTATTATACGAGACAGACTTAGGATATCTAAGTATATCTAAGCATATCTAAGTTCGTTTTTTTTTTTTTTTTTTTTTTTTTTTTTTTTTTTTTTTCGAATAATTGTATTTGTGATATTTATATCGTCTGAAGTCAAATTCTCGTGAAAATTATGTGAGACTTGAAGAAGTAGATTTAAATAAAGTTTAGGACAGAAATAAAAAGAGTTGAAGAACATAAAAAGATCAATTGTGGAAAAAAACTGTCGAGCAATGTTTCTATTTTTTGGTATTTTTAGTTTTATATTTCTTTCCATTGTTTTTTTACTCCAAAGATTAACAAAATATATATTTGTATACAATTATATAATATATATATATTATATATATTATATAATAAATTACATATATATATAAATAAATTTATATATATTTATTTATTTATATATGCTTCGGCTATTTGGCAAGTAAATATGTTGCACAGAGCCAGGCTAGGGAGAGCGCGCGTTCCGGAGTTCTGCTAAATTCACCGCAATTCCAATCCGCGTAGCAACAGGGCGATATTTAAACGCACGCGCGTGCGATATTTCCACGCGTATAAAGTATTATACGCGGGATTTTTGCACAACACCCATTTAGCGCGCTGTGCAGAACGAGATCGGTAAGTCATTCAAGTAAAGGCGACAGTGTCAGGTCCCGTCGCTCGGCAAACACTCGCCCAGGCCACGACGACAACTGTCGCATCGTGCAAATAAGGCACGCTCGCGGCGACAAAGCTCAAATTGAAGCCGATAATACGACAGAAATTCGCATGTACACACATACGCGACATATTTGCATTATTCAGTCGAATGTTCGACAAACAGAGAGAGTCGCGCTTGGATCCGCCTTAATGCCGAGCAACTTGCGACCCGCCTGACCGATGCAACTTTCTCGACACATTGTAGAGGCAGACAGTCGCGAAGAAGGCGAAGGTAAACGTCACGAGGCATGCCGTGGCGGATCGCTTATTGCGAGACACGCACACAAGTTCTCGCACGAAGCATATACATACACACATGTGCAAGAAGGTGCTCAACTTTGCGGATTTTTGCGACAATTTAATTCATTTCCGTTCCATGGCTATTTAAAGATCACCTTAAATCTCGATAAACAAAACTAGCCACAAGAAGCAACTCCGATTTGATCATGCAACAGAAGAAACTTGTAACATTCTTTTTTTCTAGATTTAATCCGTCGTAAGTTGAGCACTTTCGTCTGTTTAAGGAGAATGCAAACAGAAAAGCAACGAGAGCTGGCGAATCCATCTGTTCCCGAGCACAACTTACCAACGTGAGCAAGAGTTTCGCTCCCTTTTCCTTCAGCACTTTATGGATATCCGTGATGTACTTAGCTTCCTTCACGGCGTACCGCGTTTCGATATCTTTCAAGGTGGGCGGTGTGCCCTGCCAAATCGCGTACGAAGGCGGTAAATTCGGCACGAACAGGATCGCGTCACCGGTTGCCAGGTTGATCCCGCCGTAACATCCTGGTTCTTCCACTCCGAAACACCATTGAAAGAACGATTCCTGATAAACAAAAAACAAACGAAGAGTGGCGTATAAAACGAATACGAGTGTGTAATAAAATATTCTTGGAAGAGAAAAAAATATGCTACATAATGTGAGATGTTCAATATCTTCTCTTTTTTTAACATCTCAATTTAAAATTTTATAAGAAATGTGAGCTATTTCTAAAAATGGTATTCTTTCGTAACAAACAGACACTGACAAGTCCAGAGAGATAACAAAGTTTGGGAACAAGATAACGTAAATATGCTTTTGTTTATATTACTTCTTTTCGTTATAAAAATTGATACAGTTGCGCAATAAATAAACAAAGATATTGATGAGATAGTATATATTCATACACGATGCTGCTCGTGTTTCCGGTTTTTAACCAAAGTTTTATTCTCGAAATCGAAGGTTATCACGCGATATTACGTGAGAAATCGATGCTGCCTCGGCAACAGTCTCGACAGCGCGCAACAATGTGTGTGTGTGTGTGTGTGTCGTGATTGTATTTGAGAAAATACAATGATACTCTGCCACGTCATCGAACCGATACCAAGCACAGTCATCGTTTCTCTTCGCAAATTTTTCTCGGCATTTTGCAATCGTGAAGTTCTGCCACATTTCACGATACAAATCGACGGGAATTTAAGCTTGACTGTAGCCGATTCTTTTCTATTCATTATTTTCTTAAATACAATACTAAGAAAACTTTTTTTTCACAACGCGATCTCACGTCAGACCTTGAAGCCCCGCCGCTCGGACGGTGCTTCAAAAAAGCTTGTACAGGAAACGAGATGTCCGGAAACACGAGTGTATCCGCGAACGGCCATTCCGCCGCTTCCCCTTCGTTCAAGATAGATGAAGCGGAAATGCCATTCTTGGTTTCCATCGTTCAGTCGTTTTTATCGGATTTTGATCGTGTTGGCAACCTTGGTATTAAGATGCTTAGCAACTTCGTGCCGAGATCTGTCGCTTCTTTGTGTAAATGAAATTCTTCCGACTTTTTCAGAGTTTCTCAGCGCGCTCCAAAGTTTCGTTTTGCAAGTTTGCAACGAGAACAGGTTTTAGCATTTACCTGGGAAATCGAAAACATCGTTTATCTTAACATCACCACTGATGTAACATATGATGTTGTTTTCAATTCTGTTTTTTTTTTTTTTTTTTTATTTTTTTTTATTTGAACAGCTCTTTTAATTTTTTAGTAGCTTCAATAAGAGTTATTTATATATTAAATGACTGTGCACATCTCTTCCTATTTATATAATTCACTAATAAGCGTAAAAAGAAACAGTAGAAAAACGTAGAAAGAGTATAAAATTAAAAAACCAGATAAAAATACATTTTTCTAAGTTCTACTTTTCGCGCGAGCCAAGACAAATATTCCATTTCTAATTTAATTTTCTGGGTGAAATTTCACTTAAAGAAATTAAAGAACTATATATATATATATATATATATATATATATATGTATAAGCAAAAGAACTCCCTCAGAAGGGTAAAAGAAAAGAAGTGCGCGCTCAAAGAAAGAATAAAGAAAGAAAACAAATGCGGCAGGTGCGGTTATACACATATATATACAAAACAAAAGGGATCTCTATACTATATACAACGATGCCGCAATATTATCGCTTTAACATCTTTAGCAGCATTGGCGGAGGCAATAACGTCATCGTCGTCGTCGCTGTCGTAGTAATCGTCGTCGTCGTCGTCGTCGTCGTCGTCGTCTTGAGTTCCGAAAAATCCGACAGGTCGGAATGTCGAGGATGAAGCGATGAGAAATGAGCCGAGCGAGTCGTAACGCGCTGCGCCCAGTGTTTGGGTTCAAGTACTGATCCCTCTCACTCTCTTCGTCTTCCAGCAGTTCTCGGACTCTCGTTTCCGTCCGAAGCTCAGAAAGACGGAGGCAGGGAGACGAAGAAAAGAGGAAAGGAAAGAGAGAGAGAGAGAGAACGTCTTGAGAACGATCGGCCATCAGGTCAACGCGCTCTTTGCAGGTATTATCTTAAAGAAGTTGTGTATACATGAAACACACACACGCACACACACATCCACACGACAACGACACGTGCACAGCATTATACATGCGACTTATGTGCTTCATATGTACGTAAGCATATGTATATAGGTACGCTAAAAGAATGTCATTGCCCGAGTCGAAATTTTGACTCTCTGATGAACCTCTCATTCTACTATATATAGGAGTTACGATAGTAAAGTAGGTTCAATTGCAAGGATAAAATTTGCTCCTACTTTCAACCTAAAAGTGTCACAAATTTCCATTTTCTCCAAGTTAGGTTTAAAGTAGGT